CAGACTTACAAAATATCGTGCGTGTGTGGAGAACCATTAATTAAATATAAGAGCCCGTTTGAGTTAATTGGTCAAATTACTGTTTACGATTTAAAATATATATTGATCAAACGTTTTTTAGGATAGAGGAAAAATAATTCCTAAAATATGAGAAAACGGACGACCATGCAAAAAATGCCAAGAATTGTGTGAAAGATAAGAGAGGGAAGCAGTAGAGACAACTTTATAAAATATCCCGCCTGCTTAATTATTATAAATTACAAAAATACTAACATACAAATGTAAGTAAATACATACAAATCTCAACCTTTTCCGGAATTCGTAAAGCTAAATTATGGATTTAAGCAGTTGAAGCATGGAGTCTTGGCAAACACGTTGCTCATCACGTCAAAAGACCCTTGGGCTTCTAAAGGATTTGTTATGGATAACACAATCTTAATGGATGGCTCTTATTCATCAACAAAACTTTGTAAGGGCTTGAGATGAACATTAATAATTTGTTTAGGCATATGGCTATAGCCAACTCCATGCACAAGCACGCGGGGAATGAAAAAAAGGGAAAAACAAATACCTTTTATTACATGTTAGGAGATGTTTGTAATATATTTATGGGTATTTTTCATTATAAACTAGAACAACCATTGTCTTGGAGCTAATGTGACTTTAGACCAGAGGCTTATCAAAATGAGTCAATCATTCTACGGCGCACAGCTCTAAAGTTCCAGGCTGGGGTTTTATATGTCATGTGAAAATTAGTGTTGGGTAAAGATGTCATGCATGCATATGAGAGTGCATTAAATTTATATAATTTATTGCATGGAATACGCATCACAGATAAATACAAGTCAGAGGAAAGATTTCCAAGAGCTAACACACTCTGATCGTCTGTGCCATCAATAAATACCAAGAGTTCTGATAGGACGAATATATTATTTCATTTGCGTGATAGCGTAGAATTGAATTAAAGTGATGACCACACCAGAGGCCACAACATCTTGGTCTTCATATATTCAATTACTCATCAATATTGCAGACTAATATGAGATGTATTCATCCTATTTCGCTTAAGGTGATAAAGGACTGGTAGTAAAATTTTCCCACACTGATAATGGTAGAGCTGACGTTTCCATTGAATTTAACATAGCATTACTTTCCTAAAAGTTGTTATCATCCAGGTTGGACTGCAGTTTCGACCTCACATAGATCTTATCAACGCCCCCAGCAGGAAGCGAACTGTGATAGTGCAGCATATGAGCTTGAAAAATTCACCCCTCAACCACATTGCCACTAGTGTCCTTGAGTCATAGGGCAGATGTCAGTTTCAAGGAAGGCCAGACCTTCTCCCATACCACATTCTTTGGTGGGATTATCAATGAAACAAACGTATTTTTTCTATAACAATCGACTACGTTACTTATTTTTCGTATGTAAGAATGTCATATTACTGATTTACTGGTAGTTTTGAAACTCTACTTAGATACGAAAAATAAGTAATAATGAGCTTGCCATTAAAACAAAATATTTCAAATTTTAAGTACCTGACCCTGTGTTGTCTTGACGGATTTGCGCCTACGCTCCAACACACGATAAGAACTGGGAGAATCAACTACTTCCGAGCCATCTGAGGTATCTTCCTTCGTCACCTCTTGGGTATGCAGCACCACCTCCTTACTTCCAACCTCCACACTGTCGCTCAGGCCTTCTACAATTGTTTTGGTTTCTGTTGCATCGCTTACTACATCCATGGCTTCAAGGCGGTCGAAGTCTAACATTTCTGCCACACGATCCGGATGACGAATAGCATATGATGCCCAATGGGGCTTGTTCCATCCCCAAGTCAGGTTATTCGGCTTAACGGGGGGATACGCGGCCAAAACACGGCAAGCTGTAGTCCAGTTAGCTGAACCTTGAGGCAGGAGACGTGTGAAGTGGGCTGCATCAACGATCAACGGAATATCAGTGTCGCTGCTATTGCCACTACTATGATCAATACCAACGTCTTCGTGATAACGACCTTTGATAGGCAGCTCGTTGACAAAGCCTACTTCATGGTAAGTATAGCGACCCTCAAAGGGTGACGGAGGTAGTGGGGGCGGAATGTAGGAAAGTTCCAGAAGCGGAGCAACTAGGGTAAATGGAAAGAAAATATTAAAAATAAATGAAAGCCTCTACATTTCACTCCGCCTAAGTGCACCACAATTTAGGCTAATTAAAGTGATACGAAGAGTAGCTGCGCTTCAATTAATTTCTTAAGATAACATTGTTGCGGGCACTATCGTTTTGTGTGAAAGTGCATATTGAAGAGATTTAAGCATGCAAGACATCCTCCTCCGATTATGATAAAACCAGGCTGAGCATTCGTCTATCATATGACGAACATCATCGGAGCTATAACTTATTCTTGCAGGTCTCAAGCGAACACTGTCCGTAATCCTTTACTTGGGTCGTTAAATGTTAATGGTTCTAAAATGATGAGTTAAGACGGTTAGCTTCGTAATCTGATTTGCATGAATACAAAATTACATCTTATCTTAGCCAGAGTTGCTTACGGACTTGCATAATCTCAATAGGTCTCTTACCTGGATCATTAAAACTTGATGACCCGGGCCTGACGATAGGCTTTAGTAATTACTCTGATTTAGAAAAAGAATTGTGTACAGACGTTAACATATGCACCCCTCCACACAAACATACGCATAGACAGACAGGAAAGTAAAAGTACCATGAATAATATGAAATAAAATTAACCAAATCATTCTATATCTATCTATTTATAGTTAAATAATTTCTTTTCTCAGTTAGGAGTGTAGAAAACATGTAGGATAGAGCCGAACAGTCTTCTTGACATAGTGTTAACTTGTGACCTTTGCAAGACTGAGTTACGGCTCTGATAATGACTGTCATATGATGAACGAAAGCTGGGCCCAGTTTCACTCGAGATGAGGGAGGATGTCTCGTGTACTGCGTTAACCTTAACGTCGTATTAAAGCCAAACGGATGCCCAGCAACGGGAATAGTTCGTCGACTTCTGATGAGATAAATCACCCAATTTCTTCATCATGCACTTTCATACAAAATGAAAGTCTCCACAACAAATTTTAGGTTAGAATGCTAATTCAAATCTTCTCAAAGCGATATATAATAATAATATTATGCACATATATTACATAGTATAACAGGAAATTCTAAGTAACAGGACCAGAACAAGGCATACGATACGATAATTCACTGTAACAATTAAAGTATATACTGATAATATAGCATCTGAAACGCAAAACACTTAATAAAAGAGTGATTAGATTCAATTTCATGATATAAAGTACACTACAAATATTTTAGATCATATAATATATATTATAAAATAATATTTTATTGAATTAGCATAATATAATATTAACATAATGATATAATATAGTAATAAAAGTATAATTACAAGAAGATATATTATAAATATGAAATAATATAGTAAAAAAACATAATGTATATAATATAATAATTTTGACTATAAAACAAAGTAGGATTTATAAAAGTGTAATAGACTTAAAATCAATATGAATGCTCGCGTTAAGATGCCCTTCGATTCGGTATTTGACTTAGTTCGGTTGTATTAAGGTTCACTACATTTTGTATGCAAATCTTTTTCAAGAAAACTCGTTAGCTTGAATTTGATTGTGACAATGATACCTTGCTCTGATGATGTTCGTCATATGACGGACAAAAACCTAGCACCTTTTCACCGAAATCGAAGGAGATTATCTTGAAAACAGCGTCACCATGAATTTTCCAGTAAAGCCAATCGACAGCTGGTCAAGAGGAATCCGCCTTCGTCTTCTGGTAGAATCGACCTTCAAATCTTTTCACCAAACACTTTCATTCGAAATGGAAGCAAGCTCAACAATTATGAATCAAGAGATTCCTCGAAACTCAACTTTTCTTCGCATATATTATTTATATAGACTCCAAGTCAAGCTTAAAGTACCAAAGAGTAATCAAAGACTAATCGCAAGCTTCACCGTTGAACAGGCTTCTTCTAGATAATCATTGAGAGAGTACCATAGTGTGTCATTCGCGATACCATTTACAATCACTTAGATAGGTTAGTCATATCCATCATTAAGTCAGCCTCTGATAGCTAATCACCTTTTATTTAGCCTATTAAGAGACATATGAGACGAGATTACTTAAAGGTAAAGAAAGAGGTGAATGGAAGATTTCTAAGATTACCAGTAATAGTAAATAAATAAACCTAATTCATAAAATTGGATTTGGGAATCTGACTAAGCTTTCATTAGAATATGGTATCTACAAGTGCAATTATTTAGATGAAAATATATTAATGTGGTAGCATTAATTACTGTGTATAAAATATCTCAAGTTTTCATATTGCCTACTTAACGAGCCATTACAGGCAACACTTTTAGTATAAACTCTTTATTTTGTTGCCATCAGAGATCCATGAGGTGTCAAAATAGAGTAAGGCTAAGCAATACAAATGAATCCAGTGCAAAATAATAAGAAACAGTAAAAGAATTAACACAAGGCATAACAAAAAGCAATGAAACGCATCCCAACTAAAAATTACGCAACACCGTACATATATCACATTGCGCCAAACAATGCTACTTAATAGAATTTAGTAAAACACAATTTGATACAATCCAATTTTCAGCGAATGCTGCTTTGATTTTATGAGGATCACTCACGCTGTCAACAAATTTAAGAGAAAACCAAACTATATTCAGGCTCAATAGGTGTAAAGAGTGAAAATAGTTTACTTATCACATATTAGAGTGGTGTATCCTGGACGTAGATTAAATTGCTAGATCAACAGAGATTCATACTAAAGTAAAAGTTTTTTAGCTAGAACTAATAGAGGGTGAATACGGAACAGTAAAAAGATTCTATGCTCTAACTCTGATGAATCAATAAATCTGGTAAGCTGATGAAAAATATCGCAAATCGATCAGCCTCCAGAGTTATATTTGGCTCTAGGGCTAAATCACATCGGCCACGCCATCCGAACTGCCAATCTTCTTTTAGATTGTCACCCGCTAGTCTGGATACTAAAGTAGCTGGCTCACAAAGAAAAGTATAGGCGCTTCTGTCTGGGGCGAAAGAAATCCTGCATACAGTCTTCTTGTGTTCAAGGCAAGGATGATTGAATGGCTATGTGGATAGGCTGGTGTTTGGGTTGTTAAGTGATTAAGTGGGATTTGGTAGAGTAACAAGTGATTGGGGGATCAAATGGCTAGCTGGAAGAAAGGACTGTTGCTGTCTCGTGCTTGCCAGATCATAGGTTACCCTAGGTGATTAGGTATATTGATATAAATGCATCTTGATTTTGAATCTAGATTTAAAATCCTGATTTAAACGCTGTTTATTTGGAAATCTTCACATGAATTTTAGCTTTTAGATGCCTATAGATATATGTATATCTGAGATCTCTTGCCTCAAATTCACTTATAAAAAGTTATAAAATAAAGGGGACTAAAGATTGCTTCGTCTTAACAGCTATGAATAAATCACTATGCCATCTTTTCAGAGATTAATCAAATTTTTTAGTATCCAAAGTAGTTAAGACAATATTCACTACGGTACAAAGACAACGTAGACAAAGCAGTTGCATAATGGGGCTTACGACTTAAAGTTCAATTGACTATCCTTACTCTTAAGACTAAATCTGTAGTTATTCAGTTCAAAGAACTTGTTTAATAGGTCATTTTACTTC